CGCTACCGCCTTATGAGGCTGCTGTTAAGCTCAAGGCTGCAGCGGCTTCCTTCGGCGTCGTTCGGTACTCGGCGGCGTATGCGAACCGCCATACATTTAGTCATGTGCCACAAGTTGTTAGGGAGCATAGAAGAGAGAGGAAGATGCTGAATCAATTGGAGAGAAAGGGTGTGATTAAATCGATTGAGCCGTATCTATGTCGAGTTTGCGGGAGGAATTTTTATACAAACGAGAAGTTAGTGAATCATTTTAAGCAAATTCATGAGAGTGAGCAGAAAAAGAGGTTGAATCAGATAGAGTCTGCTAAAGGTAGTAGAAAAGTGAAGTTGCTCGCCAAGTATTCGATGAAAATACAGAAGTATAAGAATGCTGTTAGGGATGTTTTGACTCCGAAGGTAGGATATGGATTGGGGGATGAGTTGAAGAGGGCGGGGTTTTTCGTGAAGACGGTATCGGATAAGCCAGAAGCGGCCGATGTAGCGTTGAGAAACGACATGGTTGAGATGATGGATAGGAGAAGAGCAGAGTGTCTGGTTCTTGTATCAGATGATTCTGATTTTGTGAATGTGTTGAAGGAGGCCAAGTTGAGATGTCTCAGGACAGTTGTGGTAGGGGATGTTAATGATGGGCCATTGAAGAGAAATGCTGATTCTGGGTTTTCTTGGAAGGAGATTTTGATGGGGAAGGCTAAGAAGGAGGCTGTGTCTGTTGTGGGAAAATGGAAGGATAGAGATGTTTTGAAGAGATTGGAATGGACATATGATCCTCAATTGGAGAAGAAAGTGTCTGGTTTGGATGATATAAGCGAGGATGAAGATGTTGAAGGTTCTGTTAATGGGGAAAATTGTGATGATGTGCAAAATGGTGACAGTGGTGTTTGGTGGGATCTCAGCTCTGATTCTGAAACTGAAATTGTTTCATGTCCATGTAAATGACCAAACTATTGCATGTATTATTGGTTTTTCAATTGCATTGTCTCTCTAATTTATACAAGTTATGATTCAAATTTATTTGTTGAAGACTTAGGTGACATAGTTAAGTTAGATTGCACTGATTAGTTCATAACAAGAATCACATGAAAGGTTGAACTTATAATGTTCTTAGAAAATAGGCTTTCTTGCAGACTCCTTTACTTCAAACATATTTTTTCACCATAGCTTGTAATGCTCCTTTTCTTTATAGGTATTAGGTAGGCATCACTGCATATTTAGAAACATCATTGTAGAACTTAGTTTTCGGATGGAGATTACTCATCTGATTGACAGCTAATGAAATGTCATTTAGCTTTCATATAGTTGCAACAAAACCACGAACCAACCCCAATCTGCTGGTTTTCAAAAGGAAACCAAAATCGTAGCTGATGGGAGTAGAAATCTTAGATGATACAGGTTTATTTAAAGTATAGAGAGAATCATTTAAAATGGAATTATCTGAGCTTGTTTTTCCTAGCTTGAGTTACATAGGCCTGAAGTTTTTGAGGATTGTTAGCAAGTATATGAGTTAAGAAACAAAGTTCTGCAGAAACAAACACATCGTTCTACAGCCACCTTCAAGTATAAAATTGAATGGCTGACCAGAAACTTGCTACAGCCTTCTATATTTTGTCTGAAACATCAATATGGGTCAGCTTAATATGCCGAGCCGAGCATACTAATAGAATGTACGACTTGAAATAAGCAAAAACCAGTTCATAAATTGCTAGCTTATTGAAGATGATAAATGAAGTCCACCAATCAAGCAGTATGTATCAGTTCTCTCAGTCACGAACTGTAAAGCCTCAAATCAACAGAATATAGTCCTAGTAGTGAAAAATACAAGGAAAAAAAAAAGAACAGAACCAATAAAACAACACGTGGGACAGCTATGAAAAGAGGCTTCAAGCCCTGCTGACAGAAAATACCATTGAAGAGCAAAAACCAAATCCAATGCAGGAGGAGATGCTGCTACTTTGAAGCACAACATGACTCAAGAAATGCAGCAAATTGTCAAAGATTTATGATCAGTGGACACAAACAACAACAAATGTGAAGAATCTAAATGTTAGAGAGAACCTTCACCGCAAAATTCTATTCTTAGAACCAGAATTGTAATCAAGGTACCAACTCACAAACTTCTTCAGTCCGGTCTCAAGATTGGTAGTCGGCCGGTAACCAAGCTCCTTATGAGCCAAACTTATGTTGGCGTGAGTGAACTTCACATCGCCATTTCTGGGCATTGCCACAACCTTCTTCTTTGCCTTAACTTTCAACAGCCTCTCCAGTATGCTAACAAGCTCACTCACTGGTACTGGTGATGTGTTCCCCAGATTGAAAACCCTCAACTGTGCAGCCTTCTTCTTCTTCCCACCACTCCCTGTGCTCTTCTTTGCAGTGTCCAAAGCCCCCAAACACCCCTTCACTATATCATCAATGTAGGTAAAATCCCTCGCAACCGTGCCGTGATCGGGAGCTTCATAGATCGTTATCGGCCTCCGCTTGAGAATATCCTTAGTGAAGAAGAAATACGCCATGTCAGGGCGACCCCAAGGCCCATAAACTGTAAAGAATCTCAAACCAGTGATGGAAAGCCCGTAAATATGGTTATAAGTATGAGCTATCTCCTCCCCAGCCTTCTTAGTAGCAGCATAGAGACTTGCCGGTTGATCAGTTCGATCCTTCTCAGTGAAGGGTATCTTGGAATTCAATCCATAGACCGAGCTCGATGACGCCCAAACAATGGCGGGCTGTGGATTCGCAGACTTGCAGGCTTCCAAAAGGCTCACAAATCCAGCAATATTGCTGTGCACATAAGAGCCAGGGTTCTTCATTGCGTACCTGACCCCGGCCTGAGCCGCGAGGTGCATAACGTGGGTGAAAGCCACGACATCGAAGAGTTTATGAAGCAGCTCTGAATCGTTGATGTCCCCTTCGACGACGAACACGCCGGCCCGATCAAGAAGCTTTCGGCGGTCCCTTTTGAGCTGGGGATCGTAGTACTCGTTGAAGTTATCAAGGCCGAGAACCCCATCGCCGCGGCGTTTTAGGGCAATTGAGACGTGGGTTCCGACGAAGCCGACGGCGCCGGTGACGAGGACGGTGAGGCCAGAAGGGGAGCGCTTGAGAGCAGAGCGGCTGACCCTTTTCTCCCAATGGTGGCCGCCCCAGGAGTCGCCGCCGAGGGCGCGGCGGGGCGAGGCGGAGGAGGAGGAGGAAGGAGGGGAGAGGAAGAAGAAGCAGACGATGAAGATCAAGAACAAGGAGGAGCATAGAGTGAGCCTGGAAATGGCGGAATGGACGCGGAGCCGGTGAATGTACGGCGGCTTGAACTTCGCCGGCGTTGATGGGAGGTGGTTATCGATGTGGGAAATTGTCTTCTGCTGTGACATTGCCCAAAATGGGAACGTTGTGCTGTAAACTTTCTCTTGTTGTGGGTTTGGTTAATTTGGTGGCGTAGAAAGTGAAGAATTTGGGTGTTGGTGGGGGAAAGAGAAAGAAGAAAAATGGAGAGTGAAATGAAGGAGAAGGAAAGGCTTGGAATTGGAATAGTGACACGAAAGAAAGAAAGAAAGAAGAAACCAAAACCAAGCACCTGTGGAGGCTATTTGACTTATTAACAAATTGCTTTGACTGTTTCAATGGTTTGTGGATTTTTCTTTTTCTTGGAGGTTCTCAAATCCACCCCATTAAGGAAGGCTGCCTCATTGTTTCCATTGCTCCCACCTGGATGGTTAAATCAGTCCCCTGCTGGATCATTTAGGTCTCGTTTATGTGCTAGAAAATTGAAATGAAAATCGATCCGAATAATAGTTATTTGCTTGATGTGTTTACTAGAAGTTCCATAGAATATGAATCAGAAATTCATTGATGTTGTTTACTAAAATGCTATTACTATACTAGAAGCCCATTTGGTAATATTTTCGTTTTTTTTTTAAGTTCTCATTTTTGAGTTTTGTATTGTTTCTGAAATTGTTTATGAATTTTGAAAGTAACGAATCAAATTAATTGTTTCTGTTCCAAAACATAGATTAAAACATCATTTTACCATTTTTGACTTGTAAAAGGCATAATAAACATCAAAAGGTGTATATATATATAACATAAAAATTTTGAATATTTAATTTTAAAAATTGAATTTAATATAAACCTTTTATTTTTTTTAATTTAAAATTTTAGAGAACGAAAAAGTATATGGTTGTAATCCATTGGACATACATGGAAATATTTCAATAATTCTTAGCCAAACAGAAGGTAAAAATTGCAGCATTTATTCGGAATTAGCTAAAATTGAATATTTAAGGTAAGATTGACACACCTTGCCAAATTCATATGTAAATTTTTTTTATTTTTCTTTTCGGTTAATTTGTTTTCCATTTTTGTTAAATTATTCAAATCTCTTTATTTCAAGTTTGTGGCCTGACTAATTCAATACCAGAATGAACTCATCTCATATTAGATGAGAAGGAGAGAGATTGAGACAATTTAAAACAAGTATAGCTCAGTGGTAATGGATAGGTGCCCCTACTAATAAGATTCAATATCTATAGTTAAATGAACTAATTATAGGTCGGTGACCTACCAGGAAAACTTATTGATTGAGGACTAAGCGTGATGAAAAGACATATATTCACTTGTAACGATAAGTTTCAATCTCGATGGTGTTCAAGTTGTAATTGAATGTTGAGTCCTTAAAGGTTCATTTGATAACGTTTCTGTTTCTTGTTTCTTTTAATGAAGAAAAATGAATTGCATGGTTACAACATCCACGAATTCAAGTATGATAAAACAATCTTTTTATTTATGTTTTGGAACAAATTGGAAATTAGAACAAGAAAAAATAAACTTGTTTTGGTTGTTTCCAAAATTTCTATACAATTTTGAGAATGTTCTCAAAAAATGAAAAATTAGACCCGTTTGGTAACGTTTCCGTTTTCTTGTTTCTCGTTTCTAATTTCCTTAAGAAATCTAAGTATTTTACAATTAATTTTGTTTCTTGTCTCTTCTTTTTTGTGAACATTCTCACAATTGTATAGAAATTTTGAGAACAATCAAAATAAGTTTATCTTTTCTTATTCCCATTTTTAATTTGTTCCAAAACATAAATAAAAAGATTGTTTTATCATACTTGAATTCTTGGAGATTGAAACCATGCAACACATTTTTCTTCATTCAAAATAAAGAAACAGAAACAAGAAACAGGAATGTTACGAAACGAATCCTAAAATACTTCTAAAGAAAATTGGAAACAAGAAACAAGAAACGAGAATGTTACCAGATAAGCCCTTAAGTACCAAATTTGTATTTCAAAATTTTAGTCCAAATCCTAGACAATTACAAATAGTTTCAAATTGTGGCTTCTTTGGAACTAGCTAAGGTTTAAATGAGAAATTGCAAAAAATAAGATAATCATAAAAGCTTTAAAGACTTTGGACCACCATTAAAGGGTACTGATATATTTCAAATGGCTTAAAAACTAAACCAAAAGAGTCAAAGAAACCACAAATATGCAAGAGAAGCGACCATTCAACATTCTACCTTACCAATATCTTGCAAGACCCAAATCAAGCAACCACGGTTGTACTCAGGGATTGCAAAAATACCCGCGGGTATCCGATCCGATCGGATTGGGAATTCCCCGATTTGACCGGGGACGGGGTCAAACTGGGGATCCAAATGGGTTCCCCGACGGGGACGGGGATCGGTCGCCCCGCCCCGTTCCCGTCCCCGACCCTACCCCGTTTAATTTTTTATTATTTTTTCTATATTTTTATATAATAATATTAATATATATTAATTTTATAAATACTTTTTAATTTTTTTAAAATAAAACTCAAGCTAATACCCAATTTAACCCCTTTTTGTTCACTTTTTATCATAATAACAACAAAAATTAATTAAAAAAATTAAAAATTAAATTTAAAAATTAAAAGATATATATTTATAACGGGGACGGGTTCCCAATCGGGTCCCCGCCCCCAAAATTTCGGGGATGGGGATGGCCCCCGGCCCCGTCCCGTTGCCATCCCTAGTTTCACTCAACAAAATAAAATGATATAATCTTGAGCCATTAAAGTTATCAATTTCATATCTAAAAAATGTACACCCAAATTAAACATGGTGTAAATTTTTTTATTGTTGAAAGAGTACCCGATAAATCTAGGGAAGACACACAATTATCAGTAGTTGCCTCTACGTCGTCGTCGAGGTGCATTTGCAAGTCACAAGTTGTGAGTGGTCATGGTGTGATATGATTGGAATTATATTACTATTAAGTTTCCAATTATGATTTGAGTTTTATTTGGTAGATAATATTATTAGATATTACTTGAATTAGATTTATGATTAGGAATTATATTATTTAATTTATATTTTATATTCTTTTTATGATTATGAATTTTCCTATTATAAATAGGTAGGTAGGTTTGTATCGAGATGTTGAGGAATAGATGATGTTGAGGAATAGATCGTGTATTTTGTTATTCTCTCTATTTTCTCTTCTCCTTAAAATTTATTTATTTGCTAGTTGCAAGTCGCCGATCCAAATGGTTACCGCGGTCGATCGAGGATCGAGGGGAGAGAGGTGTGTGAGTGGTCCTAAAAGTTAGGGTTTTTTTTTTTAAAAGAGCAAGAAGGACAATTAGCACTTCAGTAGTCTACAAATGAAAAAGTGGTCCTGAAAGCTTTTAGAGCTTAAAGTTGTCTTATATGTGACAATTTCTTGGGTTAAATCTCATTTTGATCCAATTTTTAAAGTTGGTGTTCTATTTTAGGGTTGAACTTTAGTCCTTTATGTATTTGCTTGGTCCCTGATACGATGGAGGTTCCGTAGCACGTCATGAGCATCGGACTAAGGGTGGTTGAGCTACTCAAGCGAATCGCAACGGATCGAAGGTACGCCGGGGATAACAGGCTGATGACTCCCACGAGCTCTTATCGATGAAGTCGCTTGGCACCTTGAATGTCGACTTATCACATCTTGAGGTTGAAGAAGGTCCCAAAGGTTCGATTGTTTAGAAATTCTCATAGGCGAATCAAATCAAAGCGATTTTAAGACAACACGCAAAGAAAAAAGCTTTGCCATCTAATATCCGCTATCTTCATCCAGGAAACTTCGAAGCCCTCTTTTAGGATTCATAATCAATTTCTACCAAATTTATCAGCATCGACCATTAGAACATCTCGATCGGATTCAAATTTCCGAGCTCTCGAAAGCGTGTTCTAATTATAACTTTATGAATCTGGAACCTGTACATTTTGCTTGCAAACAGAAGGGTAATGGAGGTAATTGAAGAAGTGAAGGAGACTTGGAAAGAAGGCAAAGGGAGTCATCTTGTTTCTTAATTTAAGTTAGGGTAATTATTATATACACAAGGAAGGACCAAACAAAATTAAAATTAAATTCTTTAAAAAAATTAAAATTAAAATTGAAGATTTGGAAAAAGATATTTATGAGTAGAAGACATGTTTTTGTTGACAGTTTCTGTTCTTGTTTGAGCTTTAGTTTCTTTACTATTTATATATTTTGTAATGTACTAAAAACTTTGGTAATTATTTCTGATTTCTTGCTTATTTTTTTATTGAGAAAAAAAAATAAAAATGAGTGTGGTAATTATTTTTTTTTTGTTCTCTAAAATTTTAAATTTGAAAAAGTAAAAGTTTTATTTAAAAAATAAACTTTCAAGTTAAATATTCAAATTTTCTAAGTGGGATTTATTTTTTTGACATTTAATATGCATTTTATAAGTCAAGAATGATAAAAAAAATAATGTTTTTTCCCATGTTTTTGGCAAAAATTAGAAACAAAAGCAAGAAATCAAAAACTTAATTTTGTTATTTTCAAAATTTAAAAACGTTTTTGAAATATGAGAATCGAGAAAAAAAATAGAAAAATGAAAAAACAATAAACGGTCCTTAATATTCACGTTAATATCAAGTTTCATAACTAAAAATAAAATAGTTCTTTTTTTTTTAATAATTTAGTTAAGTTTTCAGTTTCCTAGAAAATGGTATATTTCATTTTTCACCACTCCGCCTTATTAAATCAACTAACATTAGTTTAATAATTGAGTCCAATCATTGTATACTTAATTCTACTTTTTCTTTTTCTTTTTTTGAGTTAACAAATATGGAAAAGCGGGTTCGAAATTTCAACTTAGAAAAGCAACAGATATTTTATCCATTAAGTTATGTTCATATAAACATTTTAGTAGACGTTTTCAAAATTCAAATAACTAAATAAATACAAACAAATGAAATTTATCACTAAACTTAAAATGTAATAAAGCCCTATGTTTTCTTTAAAGAAAAAATTTTAGGCCACTAATGGGACTATTAACAAAATCACCGATAAATTTCGATAAATTTTACAAACTAAACACAGATGCATTGTCTATTCTATGCTCCACCACATGCCATTAGGTATTTGATTAAGACATTTCACAATGATCCGAACACTTTGTCACATCTTTTTGATACGTATACAGTGTCGCTTCAGGAAGTAGGGGTATTGAAAATCGTAAGACTGGTATTTACCCTTATGGCATTTAACTAACATTCTACCATTGAAACATCAAATACTTGCATTCGAACCGTAGACATGAGCTTCGGGTAATCAAATATGAACTGATACCACAGGCACTTTGACGACGAAAGAGGCCACAAATGTCGATATAAATATACAAAATTCAATAGGACAAATTTTTCTTATCGTGTGGCGTGGAGATTTAAGAAGCATGGACACTTCATTTTAGATAATGTGTCCATGTTTGATACTCCGACCAACATTTATTAAACCCGTATCAAATACTTGTTAAGCTGTCTAAAAAAAAATACTTGTTAAGCATAAGAAAAAGACATAAATGGTAATATAGGACAAATAATAAATTTTGAGAGCAAAATACACCAAACTCATTTTTTAAAGCATAAAAATGCATAATCAAGACTTTGAATTTTCTTATTGTAAAAAACTGATATATAATTTTATAAAAATAGTATATTTTAACAAACATGTCCTTGTGTTCGTGTCCTAGATTTTTAGAAAATGACGTATCGTTGTGTCCTTATCGTACCATATCCATGTCTCCTGCCGTACTTTGCTACTTAGGTGGAGGCAATGGCAATGCATAAGGGGTTGCTATAGCAATGCAAGAATGAGAATCTAATAGGCCCTATTTTAGAATTCAATAATGTCAACACCCCACCACAAATTTCCTTAAAATTTTGAGATTGAGTAGCTAGCTCTAAGCATAACTAAAATACTCCAACTCTCTAAGCATTCTGATGTCAAAGACAACAAAAGTTTGAGTTGAGTTTAATAGTAATTAACAACTTCCCTATGATATCTATCAAGCCTTGAGTGCAATATTTTGTGGAGATAGTATACAATCAATTGTTTCTGATTACCTTGAAAATATTAAGGGCTCCCTCTACATTCAAGAGGTAGATTATCCAACCATGAATCATCTAAAACAGGAGCCGAGGATTCGAATTCCGTTGGCCATTCTAAACTTACATCTATATCGTCGAATACAACGGGTTTATATTTACTGTCCCGAGTCCAACAAATGTGTTGCAACCAAAGATTGCACTGTACAAACACCAGATCGTTCAACTTTTCCTGTTCAGCTCTATTACGCTTCTTCGAGTGCAAACTTTCGAACGTGACCCAGTTCCATCTACACCCATAAGAACTACAGGGTTGGCTAAGAATTCGTATTGCCGCTCTTTGGAGCGAGGGGATTTCGTAACCATACCCAGACCACCAATCACCTGTAGATGCAGCATGGAAAATCAAATACAGTATCTGAAAAGAGCACAAAATATACTACAGAATAGGTGGTGCTATTGATGAAAAGCCAAAACAACTTTTAAGCAGGCTTGATCTAAGTGGAGGCTTAGTTGGGATAATAGACATGTATAACTAGAATGGTTTGCTATTATAGAAAATGGACTAACTTATGGACTTATAAAAGATATATATATATATTTTTTTTTTTAATGAAAAGCCGAACTTCATTGTGAAAAATGAAAGAATACATAGAGGCATAAAAAATCAACCCAACAAAAAGGAGTCAAACTAAAAGAACGAAATCAAGCCAAATCAAACTTACGGAGTAATTACAGAAAAAACTTTGGACACTGAAATCCAAAAGAGAGACATGAAATCAAACAAGGGCCACCCCTTCTCTCTGGATCTCTCTACCCCTCTAAGATTCCTGTTGTTCTTTTCATGCCACAAACCCCATATTCCAGCAAAGAAACCCGCTTGCCACAAAAACCAACCCTTATCCCTTAACGGAGGGTAATGAAGAGCCTCCTCCTACATCAAATCGAACTACACTCTTCCTTTCTTTTCTTTTTTTCTTTTTTTTTTTCAATTCACACATCTTCCTTTTTAAGTGACAAAATTATATTTTTTTCTGAATTTCCACCTTGATATACCTTATAAACCATAGGCATAAGATGATTCATACCTGGGGCATTTACAGTTCTCCCCAAGATTGCAAAGTCAGTACCAAGAGCACCTTGTCCATTTACATATGCAGGATGTTCTCTGGTGATCTCCAATTTATCTTTATCCGTCATCGCCATCTTCAACATGGCCTCCTGAAATCCGTTCCTGATTCTCATATCAATCTTAAAGTTTGGGCTGTAAAAGATTGACGGGTTAAGGAACGCTGCTGCTGCATGCAACGTCGTGTGAAGCTGCAAATTCCATCTTTGGTCGATTATGTCCCAAATGGGCATATATTTCTCCTCAATGTCATTGTAATATGTTTTGATTTCAACCTTTGACCTCTCCATTCCTTCATATATATAGCCCATGGCAGGCATGTCCCCATCGACAATTCTCAGAACTCTAATAAGTGGTTCAGAAATGTTGACAGCTTCATGTGCATCCTTCCAAAATCTATCCAAATACATCAAGGAAACAATTTCCTGGGCGTCGGGACGCCTGCTATAAGTTGAGGACAGCCACTCTGAATGAGCAAACATGTGCTTGAGATTGTCCTCAAGAATCACAATGGACCTCAAGGAGAGAAAATTAGTCACAAATCCACTAATTCTTGGCCTGATCAACTCCTTCCCGCTGGTGAATTTTCGCAATGTATTCAAGATCCACACATGACTATAAATGTACCGGCTGATGATCTTTGCCTCCCCCAGTACCGTACCGATCCACTCGATTTTACTAATGTCTTCCAACATCATATTAACACTATAAGAAACGCATGGAGACCAAAATAAGGAAGGGTACTTGGTCATCAGAAGCCTTCCTGCGTAGATGTAACTGGCACTTGTATCTGTAATAACTTGGACAACATTCTCCACTCCTACCTCAAGGACAACGGTCTCAAGCAATTCAGACAGGTAAGTTCCATCATCTTCATGGCCCGATACATCGACTGACTTCAGAAACAGCGTTCCTTTAGAACACGCAACGGAAAATACTAGAGATGACTTGGTTCTTCCATCTGACCAGCTATCACACAAGATAGTGCAGCCTGTTTCTTTCCAATCGTCCCTATATTTTTTGTAAGAATTCTGTATGTCACCTTTCACTTTTTCCAAAAGAGTAGATTTTAATTTCTCACAACTTGGCGCTTTGTATCCTACTCCATATTCTGCAATAGCATTCACCATTTCCTGATAATACAAGGACTTAGCTGCACTGAAAGGAATAGAATTATGGAAGAAAAAGATGGCAACTTTTTTGTCAGTCTCATCCTTTTTCTGCTTTTGACCATTGTCAATCAGTGGTTGTGCGCTCGGTGAAGGGCATGGGAATGCAGATGGGCAGTTGCTTTCATTCTGTCCACTAGATCCATGATGGATGCCACCACTAGCAGAGGAGCTATGTTGCTGTCCATTTGTTGCAGTTTCCATGTCCAACTTTGGTTTCTTGGGGGTCCTCTGTTTCTTAGGAGTGCTTAATATACCCTGAATATGGTCCCGAACATCGGTCGGGACTTCAGAACAAGGAACTATATCTTTGTTTTTAATTTGAGCCAAATGAAATTTCATTCTGTATACACCTCCACTGAATTCCCGTAGGCAATAATTACATCGAACCTTCTGTCTCGTAGCATCGACAAGGACACAATGTTCCCAACAAGCATCCCTTCCTCGAACCATTATCTCTAGAAAGTATCACAGTCTGTGAACCTATTATTAGTAGAATCCCTTAACCATTTCAGAAGGTATACAAATTCCCCCCCTAGAATATAAAAATTGCAGTAGAAGGTCAGAAGTATAATAAAGTAAAATGAGGGGAAATAACATATATATAAGATTGATGAGAATACATTTAAGATTGATTGATTGTGAGAGAGAGAGAGAGAGAGACAGAGACCAAGTTCACATGTAAAATTAGTTCTCGAAATATAGCTGAAGCATTTGTACGACCAAATCGTAATCAGGAACTTATAGTGATACTTGTGCATGCAAAAGGTAGTCTTATGAGAAAAATGAAATTAAAAAAAAAAAGGTCATACAAAAAGACAGTCCAATAAAAGGAGCTAGACAACGAATAGTAGAATTTGGTGATAAATGCTTCTCTAGGGTGGCAAACCTTGGGTATAGAAGTGACTTGCTCTTCGTCTTCAGAAGAAAGGGTAGCCACCTCACTTCCACAAAATACCCTTTATCATTGGGCTCACACGATCTGGTCAGTGATTCTCTCATAATATTAAGACCACCCCATTAAACTAGTGGGGCTCTTCCCCAAGTTTGAGTTTCATCACAAGATTTTTCTGATGACTTCCATGGTGCCTAATTTTGAAGCCACAGTATCCTAAAATGATATCAATTGCCCCTAAATCAAAGGGTAGAAAATCATCGGCAAGGGTAGAATCTTGAAATAACAGAATGCTCCCTTACAAATTCCTTTTCCTTTCACACAAATATTTGTGCCCATACTATGTTGTAACTCGATATCTCAGACTGTAATATTCAATTTTTAAACCAATTGCTCGAATATAAAATCGGTGCCGCTCCATGATCGATTCATACCAATGCCTCAGTTTGCCATACTACTACCTTAAAGTCCACAGCGTAGTAAGACCAATGACAAAATTGAGGGACAGTATGACTTTGCCAACTACAATGGCATAATGTTCAATTTCGAGTTCTGTCTCTTTCCATTAAATGTCATCATCATGTACTAGGCGGGACTTTCAATTCTCAATTCTTGCAACAATATCCAACTATAAACTTTTTCACAGCAGAAGCATAGACCCTTATCCCAACGAGCTTATAGCTCAGCATCAGATAATCATTGAAGAGTATTCCTGGTGCTGGTGAACTGTGGTCTTCAACTGTGAAAAGTTCGGGTGGGATATGGTCACTGCTTTCGGGCAGGCACTGTAAACCCGAGGACTTGATTACAACCCTCGATACGTTGGGCCAAATTCATAAACCCATTCAATTCAACCAATTTCAGTATTTCCATCCATTGATGCTAAGTCAGAGTGACTATGTCAAAACCTACCACCAAGATAGCCAGCTTTTCAATTTCCAACAACCGATCAAAAGCTTTTCCTGGCCTGTATACCACAAATATGGATTTTCGCTAGTGGAAAATTGGCATCTCAACACGCTTGTTGACCACATTTGTGGGATCCACCACTCCAATCTCCTTCTGGTTCCAAAATCTTATTCCTTTTCCCCTAAATGCTCAACCTATCACTAAAGTCTTTAGCTCTAAACTCTCTGTATTAATTTTTGCACCACATTTCCATTACTTATTTCATCAACATTAATAGATTTCAGATCAATCAATCTTGTGGTCATCGTCTTCCATCTATCGTTCATGGTAATCAACACCTTAGCCTTGTTCAACGCCAAATGTTCATCACTCTTACCAACCTAGGTAGATGCTAAAGCTATATTCGCATCTCTCCAAGCTACTCCACAACAATCCTCTCTTCCATTTTCCATTGAGCCATAATCCCTCATCACGTGCTCTGATACAAGGTAATGGGTATTGTGTTCTTGACTGGAAAAAGGAGTAATCAGAGGATAAAAATAGAGGAGATGACCTCAATCACTACCCCACACACAACTATCTTCCCTGTCTAACGAATAATGATCTCTATACAATTCACTCCCTTACTTGAAATAGTGCACTTTCCCTCCTCTAACAGACAACTCCTCAGTTTTAATATTGCATTTCCTTGCATAACAAGTATTTGTAATTGGAGGGCTAACAAATTTTCAAGATTGACCAAATTTTTTTGACTGGAGGTGATATCAAAGGCCTTTATCCTTCATTCCCTTGGATAGATGGAAGAAGAGTTTGAAAGAGCAAGCTACGGTTGGAAAAGAATTAGATAGAGACTTGGCAAGAGTTAAACAAGTTTTTTCTTTGGACTTCAAAGGGATCTTGGCTTACCAAAACCTGCTTTCCGAATTTACAATGGAAGCCGAAAATCTCCAAATGAAAAATATCAAAATTTTTATTCCATCATTTGCTAGTCAGTAATCATTGACAATATCTTCAAAATAATTAATGAGAACTCCATTGTTAAAGTCTTTAGTCTTATAGCCCCATGGAGATTGCAATGACTGAGAAAAAGGGCATTTGAATCTATTGATCAAAAGAAATACAATGAAGATCAAGTCAAAATTCTACTGGGACCCAATTTCTA